TTTATTTGGATAGATTTGGTGAGTCATCTAGCTGATTACTCAGCCATTCTTGCTAAAAATTGGGATCACTCAAGTGGTACCATTAATCTTGGGGTCCCATGGCATTCTTTCCAGGACAATTGAGGTAATTCATTCTTCAGCTAGCCCAGACCATTGCTGTTGAACTTGCTCAGAATTGTGGTGCTTCTAGACCAGGAGTGGCCCAAGGCCTGCCCATTGGGCTTGTGCAGCTGCCGTAATGGTGGCTTAATCTTATCTGTCCCAGTGTGCCAGGTCTGAAAAGGAGAATGATCCAGACTTGCTCTTGGGATACTACATGAATGGGTGTGATCTCAGAAGAGTCAGAAGTAATTAAACCTGGTTTCATCTTTGGAACTTGGAAATTAGTCTTTAAAGGGCACAACTAAAATAAATGCTTGGTTTATTCATTTTGAAATGCACAGCTCCAATCTCGAAGTCTAAATACATAAATTCAGCCGGGACACAAGTTGACTCTCCTAGATTCACTCAGGAATCACAAACAGGCCACTAATTGGGATCAAAATAAAAAAAATCTACCTCTGCTCTCCACAAGTCTTGCACAGCATTGATGAAGCCCTTGGAGTGTTTTCAAGAGCAGGTTCAGAATAGACTGAACATTATCTGAGAGCCTTCAGGGGACCAGGCCAGGGGCTGAGTTTTGCATCTGTAATGTCATTTAAGCTTCCCAGCAGTAACAGTCTGTCTCTGAGGTGGCTCTTCTTCCAGTTTCTGAAAAGGAATAACCTCTTGCGTGATGTCTTAGACGCTCAGGAATAGGGACAGAGCTCAGAGCTGTCATTATTTTGTAAGTTTTTTTTTTTTTTTTTGAGAGCTGTGAGAGAGATCCCAGCCATTGGCTCAGTCCCCAAATGCCCTCAATGGCCCTAAAGACAAGAGTTGGGAACTCAAGCCCATAGGTGGCAGTAATCCAAGGACTTGAGCCATCACCTGATGCTACCCATAGTTCACATCAGCAAGAAGGTGGTATTGTAGCAGAGGCAGGAGGCAGGTATCAAACCAGGTACTCAGATAAGAGCTGCCATTTTAAAATTGTGCTCATGTACCATGCCAGAGCCTCATTCCAGGAGCTGCACTGCCCTCTGCAGGCCAGACCATAACAATATGGAAACTGCCGGCGTGACCATGGAGGCAGGCCCAGGCAGGTGGAACAAATTCAAGCCAAATGAGACTGAGAAAGTCTGCAATCAAACCCAAACATTTTTCTGCATTTACCAGCAAGGATATGGTAATTCTTTCTGGAAAGGTTATTAACCTCATGGTTTTGAGTACACCATTCCATAGTTCGTCTCTATGATATCTTTTTAGATAAATTATAGATCACTGGGAGCTGGTAACTAAAAGCTTAAGTACTTTATCCTTATGAAATTAATCAAAAATACACAAAGCATTTTCCACTGTTGTCTTCTGTGCAATAACATAAGGTAAAAAGTTACTTTTCCCCCCTTTGATACCCACAAGTTCCCTTCACCAAAAACAGCTGCTATCCTAATTCCTCTAAAGCATTTTTTTTTCTGTTACCACATGATACACTGTGGTATAAGGGCACTTAATATGCAAATTGCCAACATAACTTAATATTATCTTCCCTCCTGTTGCTCTTTAATTTGGTGCTGAGCAGCTGAGGTTTGAGGTTTTAATCAAAGAGCATGGAATGAGGCAATTTATAAAATCAAATGGTATTTTTTTCAATTGTTTCATCCACTGTTTATCCCTTCCCAAGTGTAGGTTAGTCTTAAAATGCACTAGCAGATTGCAAGCCCTCTAACTTGACCGTCTTGAAGGGCTCCTTAAAGGCTCCTTTTCCAGGGGTCCAGTTAAATGGAAGACTGAAGCATGCAGCACCATACCCTTGTGTCACTTGAGGCAAGTAAGTCACCTCTTTAAGCCTCATTTTCATCACCTGCAAAATGGGGACAATAACAGTTCCTCCTTCATACAGTCATTGAGAGAATTAAACCAAGTAATCCACGGAAAGCATTGTAAAATGCTTGGCTCTTATGAAGACAATTAATCTGAGAGTTCATACTTAAACCTTATTGTTGTCACATAGTTTTAAAGCAGAAATATTCTAAGCCAAAACATTGGAGAGGAAGAATTGCAGCAGTGCCACTCTCAGATCAGGAGAGAGACTCAGTCAGATCAGCAAACTGGTCTGTCATGTGGTACATGCCTGGAACAGAAAGCTAGGGTAGGTGGCAATCGAAGTTAGAGAAGCTTAAGAGCTGGGGAGCAGCTGGAAAGACTCAAGAACTGGGGGGAGGAGGGGATCCAGTAGTGGCCAGGCTAGAAGGCAGGAACATGAGATAAGGCAGGCAGTTTATGATATTCTAGAAGACAGACAGGTCTAGCAGCAACAGCAATAGAGCAAACCCAGAGAAAGAGGGCTGAGGTTCACCCAGCTACAAGAGAACAAGCTGGTGTCCAGGACCTCTGGGCTCCTTAGGAAACGCCTCTTGGACATCATTTACCTTTGACTGAAGGATTTATTGTGTGTGTAATTAACAGATCGCGTGCCAGGCTGTTTAGAGGACTGAAGGCTTCTAACACTGAAGTTCCCAATGGACTTCCAGTTGTTAGAGGAGGCTCACGTCACCACAGGTTCAGTCAGTGTGGGCTGGGGCTCATCCCGTTCCCTCTCTAAACTCAAGAACCACTCACTGGAGGGCAAGAAAACTAAATCTTCCTGTCTATGCTCCCTGAGATGTATGAGCCCCATGGGCCTGGCAGGCTGGTCAGGGTGGAGCAGAATCACCGGCCTCTCTGCAAGTGCCAGCAGATGCAAGCATGAACTTTCCTGAAAGGGACACTGACAAAGGAATGATCGATCATGGCAGATAAAGTGAACTATACCAACTGCAAACAAATGCTTATAAACTTTCCAAAATTCTAACAGATATTTTAAACCCACCTGACAAACTGAGACTAGGAAAATCACCAGAACCTTATATTTTCTTGCTTTATTTCAAACATATACTGTCATATCACTACTATCACCAATCACAAAGTCATTATTACCAATCAATTACCTCTACTAGAATTCTGGGAAAGGTCTGCTTGTTTTCTGACAGCTAATACAAATAATGCCTTTTGAAAACTCCATCTTGATTCTTGCTTTTTGTAGGCATTCCATAGTGGGTCCTCATCTGCATAAAGGCATGCTTATCCCACAAGCTCAGCAGCAGCAGGCGGTGCCCAATTCCATCTGACACACCCATTGGAAACCTGACTGTTAGGGACCCTGTTGAGGAGGAAATCCCCTCTGCTAGGCATCATCAGGGGACGTGGATGCTAGGCTGAGTAACATAAGGTAGAGTTGTTAGCAAAGCTATGCAAAGATAAAAATATATGTGATGGTCCGTGAATGAGAACATGCATTTACACACAAAGCATTTGAAGTGCTCACATCAAGATCCATATATATAAAGTCAAGATATATTCTTCCAGGATTTCAATAAAAGCCAAAAGTAACCAGAACCAACACTAAAACCATCACATATTGCTGGGCTCAGCAGCAGTTGATCATTTTCTAGAATTAGGACTGTGAGAGAAGTACAATGGAAGTAAATCCCAATCTTTAATTCAAAAAGTTATTTTTGATATTCAGTTACCACCACTCAAATCAAATCTTTAAAAATCCTTTAATTTACAGTTTCTATCAGCTTTCAACGAAGGGACCCTAAACAGTCGATCTTCATTTTATTATTCGCTCACAAATTCTGAGTTGTATGCAAACTGTTGGTCCCAGCATTTTCCAATGTGGTTCATGGGCGCCCTCTAGCGACACTGAGGTCACAACCTTTCCCACCAGAAACTGTCCACAGGATTCACTATTCCATTGCTACTATCAGTTAAAAACAGTTCTTCTGCCACTTCTATGAAGTCAACTTATCCCCTCTCTTTAAAATCCATATCTAGCTAAAAATCATTTGTCAACAACTAAACAGAGCCATATGACAACATTTCAAAAAATAACTTGTGTTGATCCCAATCTAAATATATTGTTTTAAGTGTTGGGAAACCTTTCCACAACTGAATAAACCTGAAAAAGTCACAAAGGAAGCTATTTTGACCAATAAACTTGTACAATTGCTTCATTTCTCTTCCTGAACTTTTCAGCATTTCAATGATATTGGTGATAAATGATCACAATGGTTAAATCCACAGAACTCGCATGTATAAGTGCCCAGTGATTTCCCACCACATTTGGTATAGTTGAAAAGACAGACTTTCAACTGATTCCTTAATCCTGTACCCCAAGTTTATTAAACTGGTGGCCTATGGGCCATGTGGTCTATAGGCATGGCTTGCTTTCCTTTTATACTTTCTCAGTGGTTGCTGCATTTAAAGGTCTGGATTTCTGGCATCTCCTGAGTAAAGTTACATTAGGCAGCCTCTGCCACAGCCACACATGGCCACACATTTCCAGGAGCTGAGTGGGTGCCCCCCTCTCAGGTTGAATCCTGTCTCATCAGTCACAAGTATAACTCAGCCCACCTGTGTCACACGTGTTACTTACCTGGCCCCTGTATGCACTGAAGTCGCAATCCCTGAGTTTGTGACCATTTCCAATTCTTCCTAGAAAAGTTCTCTTTCTAATCCTTTTAACCAAGCTAAGCTTATTATTAGCACCACATAGCACTACCAGAGAAAATACCGAAAGCAGCGTGCTGTTATCAAGAAGAGAACCCCAGGAACAAAGCAATGAGAACTCACAAATGAGTAGTTTAGGTTGGTTTCAGTGCTCTCCAGGCTTAAGAAACTTCTCTTTATGTTTAAGAAATCTCTTGGTTTGGGGATGACAAAACCTCCCCATGTGTTCCCAAGCAGCACACAAGCAACACAGACCCTCCCTTGTCACAAATGATGCACTCGCATTACGATTCCTCTCTCTCAGAGCCAAAGCCCAGGCTTTCGGTTGAGCGGCAAGTCAAGCCATGCAAATGGAAAGGGGCACTCACGGGCGTGCTGCTGTCAGAGAAGGTGTTCATGCTGACAGAGCTGCTCAGCTTGTCTGAGGAGACCGAGGGCGGGGATGGGCTCCTCTTCTCCAGGGGGTCCTGCCGCTGCAGGTGCTCACGCCACGCACGCTGGATGCTGTGAGAAAGCCCAGCACACACTGTTAGTCCCAGGTCATAGCCCCCAGACACAGACAAGCATGGGCAATCTGAGGAGACACGGACAGTGCGATGTATACAAGGTGTCTCTGCAAGTCCCAAGACCTGGACTCTGACCCTGTTTCAGCTACTGACACGGTCTTTTACTGATGTGACTTTCACAGACTTGACTTGGCTGAATCTGCTCAAAAGAATCAATTTAGTCAGAAAGAGTCATCAATCAAAGTCAAATGAATATGCACATGCAAATGTTCTTTCATTTGCAGGAACCAAAATATTTCAGTCTCTCATCTTATGTTTCGAATGAAGAATAATGAATAGGTCAACCATTATTCATGCACCCATTCAAAGGATCATTGCTGAGGGACCCTCTGTGTCAAGGTTAGCCACAAGCTCTGAACACAGATTGTACAGTGCACAGCTTGTGCAAAGACCTCAAGGTGACAAAGCACAGTGCAGTCTGGATGGCCAACTGCCAAGGCTCTACTCTGGGGACAGCATGTGCTCACTGTTTTACATGCTTTGGAGGAAACAAGTCATGGTCAACAAAGACAGACTATGATTAGGTGGCTACCTAAGATTTCACCCAAAGAATTCCTCTGGGTGCTGTGATTAGTATCAGAACAGTCATCTTCTGCTTTGAACAAGAGAATCCTCTTGTGTGTGAGAGCAAATGACTTGTCTCCCACAGACTGCCTTCTAGTCTTTGACAGCAACATGTAGATTTGCACAGGTAGTCAGTGAGCAAAATCTCACCTCTCCTTGAGGGTAAACCTGGCATGCAGGCCAATTGTCAGGATTCAGCCTTTCAGAATAGTCTAAAATAGTTGCATTGTACTCTGGCTTCTCTTCAGATCATATAAATCTTTTGCCTTTTAAAATAGTTGCATCAATTCCATCACTGTTTCTTCTAGACCCCTGAATGTGTTTGATCTGTAACTTACACATATCCCACACCATTCAAGTTATTTCTGTGTAAACAAACTAATTTGTCTTCATTTGGCTGGAATGGTTCAAAGACCATCAATCCTCAGTAATCACTGGATATAAAGAATATAGAAACACTACCATATTATTGATATCTGTAAATTTCCCTAATTTATTAAAGTCTGTGAACAACAAGGGTCAAGGATACATAAACAAATAGCAGGGAAAACAATCTGTTTGATTTGAGTCAAAGGTCAATTCTCTGAACCTAAGAAACCTTAAGTTTCAGGAGCTCTTAGTTAGAGGCCAGGCGTCTCTTCGGATATCCTGGCCTGCATGAAATTGTAAAAGATTTTTCTAACAGCTTTTTAAAAGGCTCTCCAAATTCTATATACTTTAAAACTTTAAACTCTATGAAATTGAGATTTGACCCTACTTTGAATTGTATTTGGTCACCATTTTATTATGCAATGCTTGCTAAAAGTACATCCTTATTTACTTTTCCAATTTCCATCTGACTTTCAAAGCAAGTCCTGTAAGAGTACCTATCCGAGCTTGGGAGACTTGTGTGTTGAGGATCTGTTTTATTAGGGAGTCATGAACTTGTGGAGGCTGTGAGTGACTTCCATACCACCCGAAGTTTTCATGGTCTCCAGAACCCAGCTAACAAGTTTTGCCTCTTGACAGTACCACATCAGTAAATTTGCCCATCAAGCACTCAAAAATGTGTAACATTTTAAGGCAGACTAAACAATAGAGAATATTGGGACCAGAGCTGTGGCATAGTGGGTAAAGCTGCCGGCTGCAGTGCCGGCCTCCCATATGGGCATGGGTTCAAGTCCCGGCTGCTCCACTTCCGATCCAGCTCTCTGCCATAGCCTGGGAAAGCAGTACAACATGGCCCAAGTCCTTGGGCCCCTGCGCGCATGTGGGAGACCCAAAAGAAGCTCCTGGCTCCTGGCCTCAGATCAGCACAACTCTGGCTGTTGTGGCTAATTGGAGAGTAAAACAGCAGATGGAAGACCTCTCTCTCTCTGCCTCTCCTCTCTCTGTATAACTCTGACTTTCAAATAAATAAACAAATGGAGGGTTGCGGGTGGGAGGGAAGTTATGGGGGGAAAAGCCATTGTAATCCATAAACTGTACTTTGGAAATTTATATTTATTAAATAAAAGTTAAAAAATTATAAAATATTAACAACCTATAGAATATCTACAAATAAGTAAAACTTTTCGGTATTGTAGGCCATCTTTTTCCCCCTTTCTTTTAATTGCCTTCATTATTCAGAAAATGTAGTGGCCATTTAAGGTAGTGCTACTTTTTAGCTTGTTGAACAGCAGAGGGCAGTGTGACACCTTTAAAGAACCAAACGTCATTGGCCAAAACTGATGCGAGGTTTACACAGGTGAACTTGTTTAAGTGGTCCCTTCTCCTTCCCTCCTAGTTCTATGGAATTTGGAAAATGACATAATACAGTTTTCCTTAAGTCAGAGAATAAAAAAAGAATTTTTTTCTTTCAAATGGAAAGACATCTTTTTTAACTCTTAAGATAATGTGTCAATTATTCTTAGGTGTTTAAATTTAACTGAAAAGTGATCCCTGTTAAATATAAGAGTGGGAATAAGAGAGGGAAGAGATGTACCATTTGGGACATCTCAATCGGACTTGCCCCAAACGGTAGAGTTAGAAACGTTCCAGGGGATTCCAATTCAATCCCATCAAGGTGGCATGTACCAATGCCATCTCACTAGTCCAAGTGATCAGTTTCAGTTCACAATTTATCATAATGAAAGGATTAAGAGCCAAAGGGATCACATAAACAAGACTAGTGTCTGCTAATACTAACCGAAAGAATTAAAAAGGAGAGAACGATCCAACATGGGAAGCGGGATACACAGCAGACTCATAGAATGGCAGATGTTCTAAACAGCACTCTGGCCTCAGAATCAGGCCTTAAGGCATTCGGATCTGGCTGAAGAGCCCATGAGAGTATTTTAGGCATGGGAAGCCAAGACACTCTGGCAAAAAAATAAAAAATGGGACCTAAATAAAAGATCTCTGTGAGTGAGATCCCAGTGGAAAGAACAGGGCCATCAAAGAAGGCGGTACCTTTCTCTAAAGGGAGGAGAGAACTTCCACTTTGACTATGGCCTTGTCTAAATAAGATCAGAGTTGGCAAACTCAAAAGGCTTCCATAGCCTTGGCAACCCATGACAAGAGCCTAGGGTGATTACTGACACCATAAACAAAAGTGTCAATCGTAAAGTCAAAAACAGGAGACACTGTGACTTACTCCTCATGTAGGATCTCTGTCCTTAACGTGTTGTACAATGTAAATTAATGGTATAACTAGTACTCAAATAGTACTTTACACTTTGTGTTTCTGTGTGGGTGCAAACTGTTGAAATCTTTACTTAATATATACTAGATTGATCTTCTGTAGATAAAGTTAATTGAAAATGAATCTTGATGTGAATGGAATGGGAGAGGGAGCGGGAGATGGGAGGGATGCAGGTGGGAGGGAAGTTATGGGGGGGGGGCACTGTAATCCAAAAGCTGTACTTTGGAAATTTATATTTACTAAATAAAAGTTTAAAAAAAGATAATGTGTCAATAGTAAAAACTAGAAAAATGTGTCTTTGAACAATTTTATGTACACTGGCTACCTTAATAAAAGAACTTTTATTTTTGAATATTTTTTTGACAGGCAGAGTTAGAGAGTGAGAGAGAGAGACAGAGAGAAAGATCTCCCTTCCCTTGATTCACCCCCCAAATGGCCACTACGGCAGGCGTGCTTTTCATTCAATTTTAAATTGAATGATACTATCACTATAATTCTTTCAAGGCCAGTTGAAGTGAGGGCATATGCTTTGTGTGCTGCTATATTTTGAATTATAAATAAAGCACATGGGATTCCTTCTAAACCAGGGGAGGATACAATTTGTAATCTTTGGTTGGTTCGGTGAATTCCTAGTTACCTTCTCTCACACATGAGAGGGCATTGTTGGCCTCTATACATGCCTGCTTGTTTTTCAGTGCATGAGGCGCCCTCACAGCCGGTGAAGCCTTGGATACCAGTGGATGTCCTCACACACAAGAGTAGAAGTGAGATCTCTTGGACCTGTCACATGCTGACTCTGAGTGGGTAAGTAGAATCCCTTTTCTTAAGCTTGTTCATTGAATTCTGTACATGCACTAAAAGCTATCCTAACAGACACTGCAGGTTTTTCTTTAATTTTTAAATTTTATGTAAGGTAAACTACACGTTTTCATTACTTGGTGTCTGCCCCAAACTTGTGTCCTGATGCAAACCTGCTCCAGTAAGGCTACTCTATGCAATAGGTAGGTTTCTCACAGCTTTGCCCCACCTCTCCAGTCTGCTTCCCTCCACTCCAGCATCTGCCCAGTTCATAATTATTTGTAAAAATATGATTTGTTCATTTATATTTGAAAAGCAGAGAGACAGAGAAAGAGAGAATGCTTTCATCTTCTGGTTCACTCCCTAAATGCCCACAATAGCTGGAGCTGGGCCAGGCCAAAGCCAGGAGCCAGGAATTCAATCTGGGATTCCAAGGTGGATGACAGGTACCAAATTACTCGAGCCATCAACTGCTGACTCCCAGGATGCACATTAGTGGGAAGCTGCAATGAAGAGTGGAGCTGGGACCCAAACCCATGCGTCTTGATACAAGATGGAGAGGTCCTAACTGTGGACTTAAGCACTATGTCAAAGGCCTGCCCTCCCACCGCCACTCTGTCACCCTTGACTTTCCTTTCTACTTTGGTAGATGTGCAAGTCCTGTGCATCACAGACTTAACATTTCAAGATCTTTATGCAGGCAGCTTCACCCACGTCTATGACCACCTTTACATTTAATAACCCCAGCTCCTCACAGAGGAGCATTCAGGCAGGGAGGGTCCCGGATATATAACATCCCCTGTCAGGAGGACTGAGGAGGCCCCTCAGAAATAATGTCCATGGGAAGAGGGTGGCCAGTGAGTCTAAGAAAGAGCATAGTGGCCCCCAAGCAGAAGAGAACCCAGTCAGGCCTGTCTGAACACCTCTATTCCTAGAAGTCCGCCTTCTCTACCAGATTGTCAAGCCCTTGTGGGCAGTGATGACATCTGTGCATCATTGTCACTTCAGTCCCACGGACCATGGTGAGGGGATGAGTAGAAAATGCATTCTTCTAACACTATGTGCCAGAAATAGCTCCGAGAAGAAGTTTTACCTCACAAGGAATTTTGTGTAGAGTGACAGAATTCTTGCCTGGTTTTACCTCTCATTAGCTGTGGCTTCAGGCAAAACACTAATCATGCTGACTTACATGTTGCTTATTGACAAAATAGGAATAACAATAACTTCTCTGTAACTCATGCAAGAAGTCAAGACTAATGTATGTCATCATTTGGCCCCAAAGTCAACCAATAAAGCTCCTAGATAAGTCACTGTAACTACTAAAAACATATTCAAATGCCTTCAAGTATTTTTAAGTAACATGCATAGATCATATCCATTGATATGATAAGCTAGTTTCCTGGGTGTCTTTACTGGTGATATTTTGATAGTCTAAGTTGATGTTGGAAAGAGATACATTTACATGGAAAAGGTACCCTATAGGGCTAGACGTTTTCCTTGGATTTTCTCATTGGAAGCTCATGACAGTCCTGTAATTCATGGTTAGTATCTCACCTTCCCCGAATGCATTTCTATTAATAGCCATGCGATTCTTTTGGCTTTTGCCCTTCAGACACAGTCCTTGGCTCCCCCATGTCTAATACTCAAAATAACCTCTGAACAGTTGCATTTGTGAGCTGGGTGTTGTACCCTTCCTGACACTACCTCTACACACATGCACTTGCATGCACACATGCACACACATGCGTGTTCTTCCACTGGGTCATGCTTTCCCACAGGCCTCTACTTCCTTGCATTGATACTTTGTGATGTCACATACAGGTTTATGCTTTCTTATCAAACTCTCCTTTTTCATGTTGTCCTGCATGTGAGGAGCCAACTGAGCCACTCTACTGCCCACCCTGGGGCTCCCACCCACTCAGGTACCCAGCGGAGGCAGGCCATCCCTGAGAGCACTTCTCTTCATGCCCTCTTTCCCCCTCAGAGACTGGCCTGCTGAAGCACCCACCACACGTGCCAGGGCTTGCAGGAGCTGCACTGCCCTGAAACCCTGCACTGAGACCCACTTGTCTCTCCTCAGCAGTCCTGGGTGGGGAGTCTTCGGGACAGTAGACTTTGCTGTGCAGTGACCCTCAAGTTTCTCTGTCCCCAGGGAGAGGGAGATGTTCAGCTGGATGTTCAGACCAAGAGCAGTCAGAAGACCCCCAAGAGAAAGCCTGTGGCCTCGGAGTATGACCCTGCAATCTGGGACATGGGCCCATCTTGCATATCCAATGCTCTGCCATTCTAAAGAAGTTCCCATGGGAAGCAGAGGTGGGGGGTCTTCCCCTTTGAGGGTGTCGAGGTCAGCTGGGGAAGGGATTGCTGGGGTATCACAGGAGACAGCATCAGCACATCAAGGGCACAGGCCAGTGAGGAGGTACAGCCAATACCAGTGGTGGGTGGCTGACGGGAGACCCAGTGAACCCACTGCCCCAGGTCAGGAGCCCTAGGGATATTTTAAGGGAATGACTACCTTGAAGTTCAAGTGTTTGCCATTGCTAAGTATCCCGTGCAGCCTAGGTGCTTTGCTCATGGGAGGTGGGAGAGGACCCACCAATGGAGAAAGGGAGGGGAGGCAGTGGGGAAGGGAAGAGGATAAAGAGAAGGAACGGGAAGGCCCACAACACAGCTGTAGAAAGGCCACATGTGGGTGGAAGGGAGATGTACAAGCTACCGTGAGAGTTAAGAATTTAATAGCCAGATTAGACAAAAGTCACTGAACTGGACTAAATTCTCCGATGAGACTCAAATTCCATTATTGGGGAAGATTAAGTTTTCTCTCCTTCATGCCCTCCAGCGAGTGGAAAGGGGTTCAGAATTATTTGGAGAGACAGAAAACATTCCTTTGCACCTCACTGAGCTGAGCCTCCTCTAGCAAACCAGCAGACACAAAGCACTTGCCCCCACGCTGCCAGGAATCTCGGGCACAGGGTCGTTGGCTTCGCCTCTCTTCCTGGCACCTGCCCATCTGCTTCTACATACTGAGGATGATGGAGACTAAAACAGACCAGGGAGATTTCCTAGCGTAATTTCAGCATACAAATTAAACCGTCCAATTTTTCACACACCCGCTTTCCTTTCCAGTACTTTTTCATTTACCAGGACCTTATCTTAATGAGAAATTCCTAGCGATAAGGCAACCTATGTTTGCAAGCAAATGTCTTGTGTAGTGAAGCTGACACACTGCTTACATAAAGCCATCTGATAGCTGGATTCATTATGCATTAGCGAGTGGGCTCCAGAGCTCGCCAGCAAGGGAGCCCGTTGGCTCAGAAGCCAAGTTTCGACTTTATCTGGAGAGGCAGCCTGTGTACTCAGGTGGAGGTGAGCTTGTTCCTCAGGGGCACAAGTAACAGATAGGAACTGTGGTGGGCTGGGGGAGTGGGGAGGGTGGTAATATCTGGATTTTATCCAACAGGATGGTATATATCTGTGTCATTTTTGTTTCGACTTTAATTATTCTCTAAAGTTAGACATCTCAAGGCTCCTTTTTCAGGTGACTTCTTTTTTTTTCCAAGCGTCCTCCTTGAGTTTGCTTTGCCAATGATAAGTGAGTCTGGCCAAGCTTACTCAGACATGTTTACATTCGTGAATGAATATCTCTTGGAGCATTAAGGTGTCTTTGTGTGAGCACATGTGTGTGCAGATGTGCACATGTGTGTATGTGTGATAATTATATGTACCTTGCTGGCAACTCTTTTTTTTTCCCTAAAGATTTATTTACTGGGGCCAGCGCTGTGGCATAATAGGCTAAGCCTCTGTCTGCAGCACTGGCATCCTATGTGGGTGCCAGTTCATGTCCTGGCTGCTCCTCTTCCAATCCAGCTCTCTGCTATGGCCTGGGAAAGCAGTTGGAGATGGCTCAAGTGCTTGGGCCCCTGCATCCATGTGGGAGACTTGGAGGAAACTCCGGGTTCCTGGCTTCCAATCGGCCCAGCTCCAGCTGTTGCAGCCATTTGGGGACTGAACTAGTGCATGGAAGACCTTTGTCTCTGTCCCTCCCTCTCTCTGTAACTAACTAACTAACTAACTAACTCTTTCTTTCCCTCTCTCTCTATCTCTATCTATCTATCTAATATTTATTTATTTATTTATTTAAAATACAGAGTTACAGAGAGACAGGGAGAGAGACAGAGATCTTCTGTCTGCTGGTTCACTCCCCAGATGGCTGCAATGGCCAGGGCTGGGCCAGGCCCAAACCAGGAGCCAAGAGCTTCATCCAGGTCTTCCACCTGGTTGGCAGGGGCCCAAACACTTGAGCCATCTTCTGCTTCTCTCAGGCCTTCAGTGGGGAGCTGAATTATAAATGGAACAGCCAAAACATGAACCAGTGCCCATATGGGATGTTGGCATTGCAGGTGTTGGCTTAACCCACTACACCATAAAACCTGCCTGCTGGTACTTCTTGAATGCCCTGCTGGAGGAAACAGGACAGGCTTCCACAAAGCAGTCATGAACAGCTTGAAAGCACCTCCACAGAGATTCTATGTACAAAGGGGTTTGTTTCTGAAGATGGATATTTTGTTCTATGATAGAACCTGGATATTTTGTTCTATGATAGAACCTATCTCACTTTAGATCTTACTACTCTACCATTTGTACCAGGGCAAGGGAGCTCACATTTGGCTTTATCAAAACACACTAAGAGAGGTCAGCACTGTGGCGCGCTGAGCTAGGCTCTTGCCTGAGATGTGGCATCCCACAAGAACTGGTTCATTCACCAGCTACTCTGCTTCCAGTCTAGCTCCCTGTGGATGCACATGGGAAGGCAGCAGCAGATGGCCAAAGTGTTTGAGCCCCTGCCACCCACGTGGGAGACCTAAGTGGAGTTCTGGGCTCCTGACTTTAGCCTAGACCGGCCCTGGCTATTAGGGCCATTTGGGGAATGAATCAGTAGATAGAATCTCTCTCTCTCTCCCTCTTTCTCTCTCCCTTTTTCTCTCACTCTGCCTTTCAAACAAACAAATGGAATTTTGAAAAAAAATACAGAAAGAGAAGGATAGTAAATGAGAAAAAAGAGAAGAGTTGAGAAGATATTTTTCTAAAATAATTGGGTAAGAGCTGGAATGGAAATATGAAGAAGGTAAAAAGCAGGCTATGTGTGCATGTGTGAGTGCACATGTGTGCATCTGTGTGAAAGAAAGAGATGGGTTGAAGCAGAAATAACCAAGTTGCTCTGAAGTAGAACTAGCCAAGTCGGTAAGATGAAAGACAGTGGAAATGCTACTGGAAGTTTAAGAACAATACTCAACCTGAAAGGAAAAAATTCAGTGGAGGGCAATCAAATAATTTCCCAAACTATCCAGTAGATGGTGCTGTGTACCCAAAGCAGCTTTGTTGCTGCTTAGACTAGGGGTGTGTGTAGCACATAAATGGAAATAAAGAAATGCATGTTTCTAGTACTCAAAATTCCAGAGTCCATTCAAAAGTTCATAGCACAAGAATTATAGTCATAACTATGTAATATAAACTTTGAAATAACTTACATTTTCACCTTTGACTCCAAGGGCTGCAGATTGAGGGGATATTTTTCAATGTTATTCTCCACATCCATAGCCATGGCCAGCTGGTGACTAGAAGCAGAAACAATGTCTCAATATAGCTCAATCCAGACAGTTACCATTGATAGCAACAATTTAGCTAATTCACATTTATTTTTAAAAAAGCAGAAATAGATATAATTTTATTCATTTTAATGTATTTTTTAAACTTTTATTTAATGAATTTAAATTTCCAAAGTACAGCTTATGGATTACAATGGCTTGCCCCCCATAACGTCCCTCCCACCCGCAACCCTCCCCTTTCCCACTACCTCTCCCCTTCCATTCACATCAAGATTCATTTTCATTTCTCTTTATATACAGAAGATCAGTTTAGCATACATTAAGTAAAGATTTCAACAGTTTGCTCCCACACAGAAACACAAAGTGAAAAATACTGTTTGAGTACTAGTTATAGCATTAAATCTCAATGTACAGCACACTAAGGACAGAGATCCTACATGAGGAGTAAGTGCACAGTGACTCCTGTTGTTGACTTAACAAATTGACACTCTTGTTTATGGCATCAGTAATCACCCTAGGCTCTTGTCATGAGTTGCCAAGGCTATGGAAGCCCCCTGAGTCCTGGAAGGTCTTATTCATGAGTGGTAGATAAACAATCATACACCAGAGGAAAAGTTGCTTTGCTTTCAATCTTGGCTGTCCTTTTTATCTCTACAACTCAACCTAAACATTGATGGCTAAGGCATTAATATCCCTTCCTTTAAAAAACAAAAAAAGGAAAACAAAACATTGGACCACCCCTGAGGGAGGAAAACATGTAGGTTACAGATCCTCTGATACCAGCCAACTAGTAAAGTGATGGTGTTGCTGCCAAGCCACCCTTCCCCTTTATCTGTAAGCTTTATCAGAGCTCCCACTGGGAACCTCGCATCGGACACTGCTATGGTTACGGAGGTGACGGCACTTGGCTGGGCTTGGCAGAATGGACAGGAGGTAGAAAAGTGGAGAATAAAACGGAACTTGTATTAAGAGAGACAGTAAAACAAAAGTGGAGGTGAAAAAGTGAAGGGCTCTTTTTTTTTTTTTTTTTTCAAAATAGAGTGATTTGGTATAAGTGAATGGTGAAAGTAAGAGGTTAAGAGGAAATAAGTTTGGACAAACAAAAAACTAATAGTTATTGGTGGCAGATTATGTACAAAACACTGTCATAGGCATTTGGCATGTCTTATCTCACTTAGTTATTACAGTAGCCTCCACCAGTTAGGTATCACTTTCCCCATTATACAGCTGAGAAATCCAAAGTCCAGAGAGATTTTGTTCAACATACTATACAGGAGGAATCACACTAAAACTCAGGTCTTACCACTCTCTCCACCACGAGGTACTTACTAGTTGAAGGGTTTTAGTAGCAGCCTTATTAGACTTCATCCTACTTACTGCAGTTTCATAGGTTATATACCTTTACATCCTGATCCAGTAGACAGCCACGTGGTAAGGTGTGTGTGTGTGTGTGTGTATGTTTGAAACATTATTTCTGTAATTACATGTGATATACTTTTTTTTCCTCTCTCTCTCTTTTTTTTTTATTTGATAAGTATAGTTACAGACAGTGAAAGAGAGACAGAGAGAAAGGTATTCCTTCTGTTGGATCACTCCCCAAGTGGCCAACACGGCCGGAGCTGTGCCTATCCGAAGCGAGGAGCCAGTTGCTTCTTCCTGGTATCCCATGCGGGTGCAGGGCCCAAGCACTTGGGCCATCCTCTATTGCCTTCCCTGACCACAGCAGAGAGCTGGACTGGAAGAGGAGCAACTGGGACCAGAACCTGGCACCCATATGGGATGCAAGTGCCGCAGGTGGAGGATTAACCTAGTGAGCCACGGCACCGGCCCCACGATATACTTTTTTATATTTCATATTTTTAATGGTGATCCACAATGTTGATTAACAAACTATCAATGGGTTGTGACCTAAAGTGTGACAAACAATGCTACAGGAAAACAAAAAGCATCTGAAAACAGGATATAGGATGAATGGGATGTTCCAGGATGGTCTATGGTGGGAGTGAGCAAGTAGAGTAAAGGAAAATTAATTACGTTCCTTCAAATCAGTCAGACATCAAGGACCAGGAATGTGGAGTTGTGAAGAAAGGCATTGATAAGAAATTGTGCTGGAGGTATCTCAAGGATCACAAATGCATTTTCTCATCTTTAGAAATGAACAAAAATCAAGAGGTAGGAAAAACACAGTATAACAAATAATTTCTCTCCTTGTCACTAGGTGGTGCCATCAGCTCAAGATAGCTCTGTGGCTGTTCAGCCTGGTGGTTGAGGGGCTAAGAAACACTCTGGTTGAATCTGTGCCACTCATATTAAGGGTCCATTATTGTTCATTAAGGGTCCATTATTTTCTTGTTCTATAAATATAATGATTACTTTTTTTACATGCCAAGGATGATGCAAAACATGGAAAAAATGGTGAAAATATTAGACATGCCATTGTGACCTTGGATTCTTGGAGAAAATGCACATTAAACAAGTAATTGCCAGTGATGGGTGTCACTAAAGGGGAAATACAGAGAAAGAATTCAGTGTAGATGGGCATGAAAAATCTCATGTTTGTAGTTCTGTGGTTTGGAGGGACAGCAGCCTCATGACTGGATGACTAAGATCCTAGTAATTAAACCACCCATTAATCCTGCAAATTTGTAAACTGGATAATAGAGAGAGAGTGATTGTGTTGTAGAGGCTATAGATATGGAGTTGATTGGCTACTCCTTCTTGGAACATTACATTTATTCTGAATGCTTAACAGCATTTTGTGGCAGACAGTGTGAAGGGAATTGTAAAGAAAGGCATTGATAAGAAATTGTGCTGGAGGTATCTCTAGGATCACAAATGCATTTTCTCATCTTTAGAAATGAACAAATAAACTCCCGCCTTATCACTAACATTTCCATAAAGAGAAGAAAACTTTCTATTTTGTGAGCATAATTTATATACCAACAGCCCAGAAACTCAGACACCTGTTGGTTTAAATTGGATATCTTTAGTGCATTTCATCAATAATTGCCTGCAAGTAATAAAAGTGATTCTATATCAGAATATGCGACTTGCACACAGCTCTTACCAGAGACCCAGTCTGATGCAATAGTTATTTAAAAAAAAAAAATGGCAGTCAGCCTAAAGACTTACTTAAGTTAATAAGTGGTTATCATAAACAATAGCATTGTATGCTGCCTAAGTAATAGCCTTACAAATTGTTTTGGGGCACTTGCCAAGTTTCCTTGAATACATGTGTGTGCGTATGTACCCAAAAACACTGGATTGGCCCTGCATGTGTGTATGTGCACTCAAATGCCGTGGATTGACTCTGCATGTGTGTGTGTGTGTGTGTATACACACACACTGGATTGGAACTGCATGTCTCTGTGTGTGTGGGCATATACAAAGGCACTGGCTTGTTCCTGCAGGTTTCTGTGTGTGTGTGCCTGTGTGAGCAAATATACAGGCTGGCCCTACATATGAGCTCAGATAATATGGAGTCACAGCGTTTCCTCCCCTCACACAGCCTACCACAAAATGCTGTTAAGCATTCAGAATAAATGTAATGTTCCAAGGGGGAGTAACCCATCAACTGCCGTGACACCACTATCACTTAACTGACGGTCATTTCAAGTAGCTGAGATGATTTACATCAACGCCTAAGTCAGCCGTGGCGCTAATGAAATGCCTAATCTGTTCACTCCAAGTACATCCATTTTTCAATCAAATTTGACAGCTTTCAAGGACATAGCCCTGTTCTAAAGCAGGCCAGGAAAACTTTGCGTATTCAGGCAAATGGGTGGAAGTTACTAGGGCCGGTGGCCAAGGCTTGTGACCATCTTGCCTGGACAGCAGGACAGGTAATGTTACCCCCAACCCCACTGCCCTTGCATACTAAGGACAGACTTTAGTCCCCTTCCCTGCAATCCCTCAACCATGACTTGAAAAACAGACTGGTCACTTCTAGAAGGGTCTTGCCTACCAGGCCTGTGGCTGGCAAAAGGCGGGCAGTGTGGGGGGTGGGGAGGCAGAGGCCCACATATACCCCATTTATTTTCACACATCTTCCCAGGAGCAGGGAGCTGGGAAAGATGCCTGCTGGCAGCAGTGAGAGGTTTAATATAGAGTCGTGGTCAATTAGCAGGAAAAGAAAAACTTTTGCAGTTCACTTCCTACATGAAAATCAATAACGAAAAACCAGCATATGCAAGTATAAGAACTAAATGGGCTGAACTTCACAGAGCAAGAGCGTCCTCAGAGAATTCAGCTGCGTGAGATTGCTGAGTACCTGGAAGAAATCTAAGTTGCATGCGTAGCACTGGGGCTCAACCCCAGCTCCTCTAAAGAATCACCTGCAAGAAGCTGTTAGGAAGCCCTTGTTCTCTGGCCTCTTCCCCAGGGATGCAGTTTCCATTTGTCTGGGGTGAGACGCAAGCCAGGGCATTTTTACTAAGCTTCCTGGGTGATTTTAAGTGCAGTTAGGGTGAAGAATCCCTGATCTAGACCTAATGTCATTAAAACACCAGCCTCCACAGAAAAAAAATCTTTCTAATGTCAGCTAAAAACACTTTCGTTGTTATTAACTACATATGGCTAGTGATGGGGGAGGGGGTGGTTGAACTATCTGATCTCTACTCATTTGTATTACAGAGAACAGGTATAATGGGGACTAATTAAATTCAGAGCTATCCCAGGACTACACTTGAGCTTTGAGTGAAGGTACCCTTCAGTGTGGTCACACGGCAGGGTCTTGGGATCATGGAGAAAGAATGAACCTGAGAAGCTGTCCAGGCTGCCACCCAGGAGGAGAAGGAAGGGAGGCGGCAGTGAAGGGATCTGCTGTCCTGGGTTGTCTCACTGAATGCCCCCAGGAAGACTGTCAAGTCAATACTATCATCTTCAGTTTAAAGATCGGGAACCAGGGCCTCAGGGTGGCTACATAGTCTGTCCAGGCTCCCAGAACTAGAGAAAGGCAGAAAGAAGAATCCGCCTGAAGGTCTTCCAGTTTCAGGAATATTTTTAACAACACCTCAGTTGCTCATTTACATCTTCTTGGGCACTTCTGGGGTCTATCAGCTCATTTCTAGACAATGAGTCATCGTTTCTCCAAGTCACTTAACTCTGCGTGCATCCCACTCATTGATCCTCGCTCTGTTCTCTAGATCAAGGAGAGCAATACAGGTCCTCTTTTAAAGGAATATTCCTTCAAATATGTAAGGATGGCTGTTTGGATACTTCTCAGACTTCTCTCTGATCCACACATCTTCAGCTCTCTGGAGTCATTTCACATGTTTCTAGAAGTCTCACAGTTTTAATTTCCTTCCTCTGGTCCTCTGGGGGATGCTGGTTCTCTTTTTAAAAGTGGTACCCAGAGCTCAGCATGGCAGCCACATAGGTTTCATTGACTGGTCCAGAATATATTGGGACTTAAGTGGAAGCTGAGAGCAAAGGCTCAGTAAGAATCCAAACCTAGGTTTGATTCCCGTATTTACCACTCACCAGCTGAGTGCACTTGGACAGATAATGAACTCTCCTCGAGTCTCTTTCCTCATGTATAGCATAGAAATAACAATGCCTACCCCGAAAGGCTGTAGCCAGAATTTGATGAGGAAATGTCTATAAACATTCAATAGCACAGAGTTCACTGTCAATGCTCAATAAATGGTAGTTCTTTTTTTCTTCTCGTATCCTGACAATGTGTGCCTATCAGTCTAACATTATGCTAATATTTTTAGGAGGCACATAAGATCATGAGCTCTATTAATGTCAGAGTCTTCAAGCATTTATTCACAATTTGAAATTAGGATGTATCCCTCACATGTTCTAATTGTACAACTTTTTAGAACTCCAAGTGGAAGACTTCATCTAATTTCATTTCTTTTTTATTTTTGAAGCTCAGTTTTGTTCTATTCTTTGGTATTTTTGTACATCTGCTCTGTTGGTCTCCGTGTTAGCCTTGTTACTTTCTGCAGAATGAATGCCTGCCTTCTAATAAAGTCCCTGATGAAAAGCCAAAGACGGGGCAGGTTTAAGTTTCAAGCCCTCAGAACACCACCAGAGACACCTCCAGGCGTCATATTACTCTTCATCAGTAGAGCTTGTGCGTTGTCACTCAATTACCCTTAAATTGAACTGTATCTCAAATCAGCCACATTGCTGCATGCTGACCACAGTGAATACATAAGAAACCGTGATACTTCCTTATTCATTTTTGCCTTTCCAAGAAGTTTATCTTCCATTCAAGCTTTATTAAACACTTAGCAAATAGGGGAGGACACTGTGGTACAGTGTTGCCACCTGGGGCATCCACATCACAAATTGAAGTGTCTAGAATGGGCTGAGTCCTGCCTTCACTCCCTACTCAGTTACCTGCTAATGTGCACCCTGGGAGGCAGAAGGTAATGGCTCAAGTGGTTTTGTATCTGTCGTCCACAAAGGAGACCTAGATGGAGTTTCTGGCTTCTGGCTTTGGCCTGGCCCTGCCCCTGGCTATTGTGGACATTTGAGGAATGAACAAACAAATGGGAGATTTTCCTACCTCTGTGTGTGTGTGTGTGTGTCTGCCTTTCAAATAAATAGAAAATAAACTTCTTTTTCTTAAAAATAGCCAATGATTTAACTTTTTAAAATATTTTTACTTACTTTTCAAGCAAATATTTCCCATCATTAACTTGCTCTAATGGATTCTGTAATCTTTTCAGTTCTTCCTATAAAAAAGGAAAAAAAAAGTATCTTACAAATCCATAGCATAACCCCTGGGCAATATTATTTGAGGGCAATTGTTAGGGAAATTCAAATAACTCACCATTAAGAGTTATAGATCTTGTGATGGTTAAATGTCTAAACACACAATACAGTCGAGTCCTTATCAAATTAGAATCTATACTATAACTTAAATTCATGATTTTTTTTAATCACCAAAGAGAATGCTTCCTTTTACTTTCCCGAGCAGAGATATGTTTATATGAATCCACCCATACTCTGTCCAAATTAATTCTGTTGACAGTTTGCTGGCTGCGGGATAAGAGGCTTGAATGACGATGCTGGACTGGGTTCAGCCATTCAGCCAACATCCCCTCTTATCTCTTGGTAACCTCTTTCTTGTAGGCCAAGTGTGCAGTCATATTCTCTTTCTCTCTCCCCCCCACCCCACCTCTCTCAAACAAACACACACTTAAATTTCAGGTATCAGTAGTGTCTGTAATTCCAGTTCCCTGGCCACAAGGATGTGAGGGAAGTTGGCTCAGGTTCCTGCTGAGACTACTTGTCCCTGGTCTTGTCAATCACAAAGGATTTCAAGAGAGTGCACAAACCCTGTTCCTGGGATGACCACCAGGATCCAAGGCCACACCACTTCCCTCACCACCAGAACCTGCTAAAGCACTCATTCTCAAGAGGAAGCCACAGTTTGAATTGCAGGTGTCCCTTGGTCTATGGGAGCGATTGACTCTAGAATCTCCATGGATACAAAAATCCAAGGATGCTCAAGTTACTTATACGAAATGGTGTAGTATGTGTATACAACCTATATACATATTCTTATATACATTAAATCGCCTCTAGATCACTTATAATACCTAATACAATGTAAATACCATGTAAACACTTACCATACTATATTGTTTAGGGAATAGTGATTCCCCCCAGTAAAGTCTGCACATTTTCAGCCCAGATAAAACTTTTCTCTGAATGTCCTCCATCTGCAGTTGGTTGGTCCTAACAGGTTGTGAAGTAGGGACTGGGATTCATTCTTTCTCATCTGGATATGAATGTGAATCACGGACCTACTGAATCATTTTTTGGCAAGAGGGACAGATTCACCTGGTGCACAGCTTCTATCTCTTCATCCTGCCAGAACTATAGTAATGAGATCCTTTGGGCAGAATCCATTGTACCCATGAGGAGGAAAAACACACATTAAAGACAATAAAATAGAAAGATAGAAGGCACCTTGAGGCCCTGATGAAATTATGGTGCTGGAAGTGGCTGGCACTGCGGCTCACTAGGCTAATCCTCCGCCTGCGACGCCAGCACCCCAGGTTCTAGTCCCAGTTGGGGCGCCAGATTCTGTCCCGGTTGCTCCTCTTCCAGTCCAACTGTCTGCAGTGGCCCAGGAGTGCAGTGGAGGATGGCCCAAGTGCTTGGGCCCTGCACCCACATGGGAGACCAGGAGGAAGCACCTGGCTCCTGGCTTCAGATCGGCACAGCGCGCTGGCCATAGCAGCCATTTGGGGGGTGAACCAATGGAAAGGAAGACCTTTCTGTCTGTCTGTCTGTCTGTCTCTCTCTCTCTCTCTCACTCTCTAACTCTGCCTGTCCAAAAAAAAAATGAAGAAAGGAAGAAAGGAAGAAAATATGGTGCTGGTGCTGCTGCCTCAACTCTGATCTTCCACCATTTGAACACTTTGTCATGAAAGATGATTAATCTGCTAATTTATTCACCCATGATGGGTGAACAGAGACAAGCAATATGCAATTCTCTGTTCATAACTCCCCAGTGGTTTTCCACCACTTAGGAAATAAAATCCAACCTCATCACGGGGGCCTACAGAGCCCTGCAGAATATGAGCTCCATCCTCTCTCTGACCTCATCTCCTGCCACCCTCCATACACACAGTTCACTGCCCTCCAGCAACCTTGGTCTTGTGGCATTTCAGAAACAGCAGTGCCTGCTCCCTCCTCAAATCATTCAACCTTGCACAGAATACTGATCCCCACACCCCTACAGGGCTCCCACTCCCTCATGTTATCCAGGTGTCTGCTCAGACACTGCCTCCTCAGAGAAGCCTTCCTTGATTGAACTTCCTAAGATGGCACCCATCACTGGCTATACACACACCATGATTTATGTTTTTGTTCCTTTCTTTATGCTCTTTATCACTTATTTATACACTATATACGTGTTATTTGTCCCCCTTCTCTAGACTGTAAGCTGCAAGGTTTCTGTCACATGCTCCACTAGACTCTCAGTGTGTAGAATAGTGCCGAGTATGTAATACTCAGTCAAATTTAATCATTTAAACTTTAAGATTTGGAGAATTTCTGTATCTGGACCTCAAGATATGAGTAACTCTTGAATTGTAGTGTTTGTTGAACTGAAGTATTTGATGCTGTGGCAGGTCCTAACTGAAAGAAAAGGGTAACACTGCAAAGAAAATAAAACAAAAGAAATCAGGACAAAGGGGTCAAAGTCCTGGTGATGCTTAGAACTTCTGGATCAAACTGGAACCTGAAACCAGCTGTTAGTAGTGGGAGGCAGGGGTAGGGAGGTTCATTTACTGCAAGGTTAAGCTGCCATTGGGAAGCCCACAGCCTTTATAGGAGTGCCTGGTCTTGAGTCCCAGCTCTGTGCTCCATTCCAGCTTCCTGCTAGTGCATAGCTTGGAGGTAGATAGCACGTGAGGGATCAAGTAGCTATGTGTCTGACACCCACTTGTGAGACTTGGATTTGAGTTTCCTCTTCCCATCTTTGGTCTGGCCAAGCCACAGCTCTTTTGGGTATTTGGGGAGTAAACCAGTGGATGAGAATCTGCTTGTCTCTCTGCTTTTCATATAAATAAATTTAAATAATCAGATCTTGGTGGACGTTAGCTTTGTGTGTCAAAGATACTCTCATTTGCCCAAGACACTTTCAGTTGCAATTTCTGCTGTTTTTCAACCATTGTTAGAATCCTACTTGGGAAGTGATAATGTGAGCCATAACCCAGGACTGTTGAATACACATGCTAAGATGAGCCATGGAAATGAAAAGTTCAGAACTGAATGCTGGTTGCTGCTGTTTGCTTGTCTTATTTTGGCAATGTCTAAAAAATATCTTATCAGAAGACTAATGGATAAAGCAGGTCATGGTCTCCAATCCCTTTTTATTAAAGGCTGCTGATTTTATACCAAACGTTGGTAACAAATTTCATGTGAAGAACATTTCTGCATCTTCTGAAAAATTGTTGTATTCTTATGCACTATTCATGTTGCTGCTGGATCTCTTGTGTATAAAAGAGTAAAAGGGAAATTCATTTTAGAATTCAGTATTAGGTGATATTTACTCCTTTTGATATAATCGTACATTTTTTTCATCAACAATAACATCTCATAAATCTCACAGAAGACATTTATTTTGTCTTGGCTGCCAGAGCTTAAGCTAAATTAAATATTCAATTGCCGTAAGTATTCTTTCCAGGCTGTTAGTGCAATTATTTTCCCTCTCTTTCACTCCATGATGTGAACATCTTTGTTTTTATATAACTCTCTTAATACATTTGGGCTTTTCACAGTAAGTGGAAGCAAATAGGCAGAGCATAAATGATGAATAGGTAGGAAGCCAGAGATGATAGATGATTGATAGGTAGTTAGGTAGATAGACAGACAGAACATCATTTTCAACCTTACACTTCCTCTGCAGCATGCTAGACCCTGGTTTCTTAATCTAAAACTAAGCCTTAACAGCCATCCTGTATTTCCCACCCCCCAGCCCTCCCACCTAATCCTTTGCCATATACCATCCCACCCTCACTGGCATACACGTTAAATCTAGGTCATATAGAGGGTCAGACTTTTGATATAGGAAGGAACTGGCTTGAATGAGAAATCTGAAATATTCTCAAAAAACAGAAGTGAATTTTGATGGTATGAACTTTTTCCTTGTTACCCCCTGCATTCGGATTAGAAAGGAGATTGAGCTGATTGTAGTCCTGGCATTTTCTCTTCTGAGAGATGTCTTAAAGGCCCCTTTCTTCTTTCCTTTTTCCCTGAGAAACTGGGGGGCAGGGAGAAGAGGGGTTTTGTCTCCGTGCCAGCCACCTTCTCTTCCGTGGTTCTTTCATTGCAGGGAGCTTGTAGGCTGGGAGGAGCTTTGATGCAGTACTTTATTCAATTTGACTATGCACGTTCTAGGAAATCATATTAAACATAAGGTCAATGACTAACAAGAGCTTTCTGAACAGCTGCTCTGCTGACAATTTGGAGGATTGATTTCATCATTTGGTTATTTAAGCTAACTATACAAAGACACTTCAACTCAATTGGCCTGGAAGTTGCAAACTATTTCCTCATTTTCTCAGAGATGGATATGGAAGTCCGTTTGCTCAACTTGTCTTCATTCAGAATTTCATCTAGGGGAAAGCTGTGCTTTATCATTAAAAACATACACAAATTGGACTCTCTCATCATTGGTTTTTCCCACTAGTCCTATTTGTCTCTGATTTTGTACCTGGCAATGCCATCTTACTACTAGAAACCATCCATGGTTCCCTGTTGCTTCCAGGACCAATTCCATACTTCCTAGCCAAGGTCTTGTGTGGCAAAGTCTCATTTGTCTTCTCTGCTCCTGTTCATGTGCTGCTGCACACCTCTTTCTCTAGATCTGGCCAAATGACAACTTCTCACTCCTCCGTCGACTGTCCCAACCCCGCAGGAGGTCCTACTTCCTGAACAACCTGCACTGGTTCCTGTTTTAGCATTTCCTCCTTACCTGGCTCCCTAACCAAGACCCACCAGGTCAGGGGTGAAGACTTACTTATCTGCATGTGCTCATTCCCAAAACGAAGCATTTAAAAGATGCTAAAATACTACCTGTTGAATAAATGAAATGATCATATTGTTCTAAGATGGACAGAAACTTTAAGAACTTAATGGTAGGCCAGCCCTGTGGCTCAATAGGCTAATCCTCCACCTAGTGGCGCCGGCACACCGGGTTCTAGTCCCAGTCGGG